GGTTTTCGATGTTTTTTTGACCTTTGACCACTCTTCACCCCCCCCCCTCCTCTCACTATGGTCAACCAACAGACCTCAGATTCGAACTTCCCGCATCAAAATACCTCTAGAAATATCTTTTTTGAAAAATTGATTTTCGATGTTTTTTTGACCCTGCGGACATACAAGCAAGCAGACAGTTTATTCTTACTGGACTTTTCTCTATGAGAAAGAGAATAACAAGTATAGGAAATAGTGAACTGAGATTTCAATAGTAAATTCTATGTCTTTTCTTTCATTCGATAAACTTAGTATATTACTTCTGAATATCTTATGGAAGCAAAAACTTTACCTTTCAATTAATCTTGATTGATAATCATCATGTGGTTCAACAATTTTTGTTGTAATAGTTTCTTTTTCTTTACCATCAGGTCCAACAAATCTTCGTGTTGTTCGTATTGTTCGACGACGTGTTTCTCGAGTCTAAAGATATTTTTTTAAATAAAATAATAATATTGTAAATATAAATATATACTTGTAAAGAATTTGATGTTGGATCAGTATTTGATATGATAGGAATAATTTGATCTGAATTATTTATACTTCGCATTGTATCATGATCATTTCCATTTTCTACGGCTTGACGTACGCATGTATAATAATAATCAATATCATTACTTGTATTGAGCATAGATGATGAATTTAAACGTGGCTTATCTTGTTTAAAATAATATATTGAATCGATATTGTCAGTTTCAAATTCAATTTCTTCTTCACACGTTTGTTCAATATCATCATCATCAACATCATCAGCTGTTAGATCAGTTATAACAGAAAGTATAACTTCTGGAATCGATGGTTTCTCAAAATCTGATTGAATAATTTCTTCGAGTAAATCTTGATAATATAACTCGCATCTATTATCTAATTCTCTTCGAGCTAAATCTTCGATTTCAAGACGACCTATTTCAATATTAGCACCTTTACGAGTAGGAAATATTTCATTTGGTCTTTCTGAAAACGAAGGTATTCGTTCAATAGTAATTGTTGGTTGTTTATTTTTTTCATTTATTATTGAAGAAGTTGGAGATACTCGTTGAATAGACATTGGTGGTGAAGATTCATTTGATTCAGATAACGTACGAGATTGAAATTGAGTAGTAAGTACTACTGGAATCTTAGAAGTCGTGTTCGTCGTAGTAGTAGGAGTAGTATTCGAAACAAAAGAGGGTAAGGGTGGTGGTTTCGGTACACTGTTTGATGACGTTAGTATAGGCACTAGAGGTGGTTTAGTTGTTACACTAAAAATATAAAACATTTTTTTTTCTTGTTTCTTTAGTTGCATATCGAACAAATTTGTGTAAATATACACTTATTTTATCATCGAAAATCTTTCAAAGTTCTTCTGTAGATGGGTTAACTTACTTATTAGATGTTTCAATCTTTTTGTGATCGTCTTCCTTGATCGTTGATAGATCTGGTGACATGTTTTCACCATTTGATAGACGATGTTTTTGTTCTGGTGTACTATCCGATTGTATCTGTTTATTATTATTGTGATTATCAATCGTTGTTGGAATGTCATTATTACCATTTACTAAGGAATTATTTTCTATAAGATCTACTTCAATAATTGGATTTTTTGAAAGACTAGTTTCATTATTAATAGTATCTTTCGGCTAAAAACAAATTTTTTCATAAGAAAAAAAAATATTTTTTGTATAATTTACTTGAGATTCAGGTGGTATAATTTCT